CCCCCCCCCGTGCCGTGCCCCGGATGGAGCCGCTCGGCCCGGCTCGGCCCCGGGGCTTCGCCAGGCGGTCGAGCAGCGGCCCGTCGCCCCGCCGCCGCGCGACCGGGCCCTCGCACACAATGCGGGCCGGGCCCGACGGGCCGCGCCGCGCCCCCGCTCGCCCCTCCGCCTCGCCTCGGCGCGGGCCCGGCCGTCCCGGTGCGCGGGGCCGGGCACACGTGCGGGCGGTCCACGCGCGGCGCCGCGGGCGCTGCTCACCTGGGGGCGCGGGCCGCCGAGGCGCCTGGTGCCGCGCGCGCCGCCGCCGTCTCCGCGCCCAGCAGCAGCAGCAACAACGGAGTCAGCGCGGCGGCGGCGGCGGCGGCTTTTCCTGTCCGGTTACGTTAGGGTCACATGACCGAGAGCGGAGCACAGAGGCTGCAGCGAGGAGCCCCCGCCGGGGGGGAGGGGAGGCGGCGAGCGCTGTGGCGGCGGCGCCGGCGCCAGCAGCCGCCACCCACCCCCCCCCTCCCCTCTCCTCTCCGCTCCTCCCTTCCTCCCTCCGCCCGCGCCGCCGGGCACGGCCCCGCCGCTGGGGGCTGCCGGTGCGCGGAGCTGCGGGGCCGGGTTCGCGGCCCCTTTAAAACTCCCGGGGGGGAGCGCAGCGCGGGGGGGGTGGGCGGTGCGGCCCCCTTCCACCCCGCTCCGCTCGCCGCCGGGCGGGGGCGGCTCCGCGCTGCGGCGCGGCCTCAACGGCTGCCTGAAGCGGCAGCCACAGGTGCGTCCCGCGGGGCCGCGGCCTTCCTTCCGCGCCTGGCGGCGGGCCGGGCCGAGGCCTCGTCGCCTTGACGCCCGCGATGCGCCGTGCTGCGCTACGGAGCCCGGGCGGCAGCGGGCGGTGCTGAGGCCGGGTCCCTGCGGGCCGCGGCGTGCGGCGGAGGAGCCCCGCTCGGGGCCGGGTGCGGGGCTGGCGGGGCAGCGTGCTGCTTGCAAGCTCGTTGGGAGGCGTTTGGTCGGCATCGGAACGTTAGTTTTTGATTATTTGTGTGTCTTGGGTCTCTCGACCATTTTAGCGTAGTTAAAGGCAGCGCACGTGAGGCACCTGTCTGACCTGCGGGTGCTGGCTGTGGCTGGGCTGCTGTCTTCGTAGTCGTTGCATCCGATGTGCTGTGTGGAGGAAAAGCAAGAGATGCCAAACCTTTCAGGGCAGTGCCCTGACAGCAAGTGAGCTGAGGGCAGCGTGAGAGCGGGGTCAGCTCCGCGTTGGTCTGCTCTGTAGTTCAACAGGGGACTGCAGCCTGCCGGGGCGGCTGCTGCTCTTACGGGGTCTGAATTGATCAAGGGCTGCAAGACTTCTATGTGAGTGTGACTGCTGTCTGCACTGGAACTAAAGGAAGGCTGGATAGTTATAGCTGGAGTTTGCTTGCAGCAGGCAGCTCGTAGATGTATGTTAGTTTATTTATCCAGCGGTGCCTGAAAAGGAAAGTCCTAAAAATAAATGGCAAAACTTAATTTTCTTGGAGCTGAAAGCTGTTTGCTGCTATTGTGGTATTTTGAATGTGGAAGCTGGACAGCACTGCATCTTCTCTGAACTTGCCTTGAGTATCCTTTGCTGTGCAGCACCGCAAGAGATACACGTGTAGCACCCCTCATAGCAATGTGATAGAAGCTTATAGACTGTACTTAACCAGCAGAATGAAAGGCTTTTAGTCTGCCTGGCATATTTTCCCCCCTTCTCATGCATTTTACTTCTGCAAACGAAATGCAAAGTAAAGAGAGTAGGTGGATGTTGGAACTTGTGTGGCTTGGTAGTGGACAGAGTTTGTTCTCACTGACCGTGGTGAGAGATGCAATTTTCATTTGAATTCGAATGGGCTACTTGGGAAAATCAGTGTATTTCTGTCAGGTGCCTGTTGGATGGTTTTGCTTTGTGGCCTGCTTTTTCTCTTTTGTTGCACTTGGATAATTCTGTGTCAGCATTCCTGTGAGATTCTCCTCTGTACTTTCTCTGAAATTGGAGGAGAATGTCTTGTTACTGCTTATTATTGATAACTCCAGCTTTAAAGAACCGGGTTTGCTCTGCAGTTCTGTAATTCATCAATAACATGACTCGTTAATTTATAAGTATTCTGCCAGATTCAGGGCCCATTGGAAGTGGTGGAAAGACTTCTGTGCTGTTTAGTACCAGCTAACTTTACATCTTCAATGCTGATTTACACCTGAGAGGCACTAGCTGTCACTGGGGAGCCAAGCATGAGTCAACTGTTGCATTTTTTTTTTTGACATCTGGCTCAAAATGTGAATCTAAATTTTTACTTCTGTCCGATCTTTTGTGGCATTTTTTTAAACTTACAATCAGTACAACAGAAATTGTAATTGAGAATTATCTTTTTCTCTTCAAGTTATATCATTGCTCTTCCTGATGTTGATTTTTTTTTTTTTTCTCCAGTTCCTTGAGGCACTTTTTCAGGATCTATTTCCTAATCTTTTTTGAAAGGAGATTTCAAAATGCTTCAGATGTTGCTATGAACTTAAGAGCACACTTGGTTGTGTTGCTGTTGATGATAGGATCGGTCTCTGGGTTTTTGGTTTCTTTGCTCTCTGTGTCCCTGGATAAAGGCAGAATTTTGGCTAATAGGACCATATTTTGCATTGTAAATAAGCATAGCACTGATGTTTTTAGTGTTAATAAGATGACAAAGATATTTGTTAATATGAGCAGTATGAGGAACATTATCCAGATGGACCCAAATCCTCTGTGGTTGTTTTTCTTTTTTTATAGAGTTAATTTGAAATCTGGTATGGAGGAGTAGATTTCTTGTTGTTCTGATCAATACCTTAATAGACATTAGTCAGGTTCAAACTCAAGATTTTTCAGTGAGTCTTGTAGTTTTTTTTTTTTTTTTTAAAATAAAAAAGTAGAGTCTTCTGAAGAGCCACTTGCTTATTCCTTTCTCCAGCAGTGCATATCCAGTCCTGCAGGACAGTTTCTGGAATTGCTGAAGCTTCTGGGAGCTGGAAATGCACGTCTCACTGCTGTGCGCTGTTTTCATGGTGGTACAACTGTGGAGTAATGTTTATTATCAGTACTGTAAGTCCATTTTATTAGCACAGCTGCTGCTTCAAACACTTCAACTTCTTTTTTTTTTTTTTCCCAATGTTAGTGGGTGTAGCAGGGAAATGCTAACTCAGGGCTTGAAGCAGTGATTGAGCACCTGTTGGGAAGGCAGGGCCAATCCTGGGTTGCTCAGGTGCATGCAGTGCACCTGAGTGACCAGAACAGGTGGAGCCAGGATCCACCCCTTCCCGGACCTCATTCAAGGGTTGGTAGTGCAGGTAAGAGTATCTTCTCTGGAGATGACCTTACAGCCTTCTGAAGATAAGAGGTTTCTTTCTCTTATTTCTATGCCTACTGCTATTGCATATAACCAGATTTGCACTCACTGTAGCTTAATACCTTGCTGTTCTGTCATCTTCTTGTGCTTTCTATCATGTTACAGTAGGAAGTGCAACAGCACCAGTAAATACTTAATAAATATCATTCCTCTGATAATATCTGATCTTCTTATCCAGGAATATCTTCCTCACAAGATTTTGTCATTCTCTCAGTCAAACCTTACTGGTGTACCTCTGCGTTGGGAGCACAAACCAAGGGCATCAGGAGATGCCCTTGCACAGGGGTGCAGCAGCAGATGAGGAATGGCTCTGCATTTTCTCGTCTTGGTTTCCCTGGCATAGGGACCTCCCAATGGATGTGCTCATGATAGGTGAGTCGTCAACCCCTAAGCTGTCATGTTGAGAGCAGGTCTGGATTTCCTAGAGGCAAAAGAAAACTTGTGTAGGCCTTTTTGGTGTACACTGCGTATGTGAAAAGCAGGAAGAAGTAGAATAGAGTAAATGTTCTTCTGATATCATGATGTTAGTTGGAACATGGAAGCATTTTGTATTTACACCTAGTGAGCAAAGCCTTCTCTATAGCATCTGGGTACCTGCAACTGACACCAGTAAAACAAACAACCTCCAAACAAAACCGAACAAAAAAACCCAAATGTTTTTGCTAGAAGAACATCTGTCATCAAAGGAAATGACTTAACTGCACATAGAAGAATGTTTTTGTTAGGAGTTTCATTTCCATCAGGAGTTGTAGTGTCACTTAAATGATGCAGCTCCTGCAGTGCAGATTGCCCCTCTTTGTTCTGCACTGCCTTCATTCCAGTTTAGCCTGGTAGAGCCGCCCTGCCTGCTTTCAACTGGAAGAACTAAAACGTGACTGTGCGTCCTTAGCTGGGGAGACATGTAGTGGAGCAGGATGATAGTTACATGCATATATGTACTTGTATATTTTACTTTCCTAGGGGAAAAAAATTAAAACTGCAACTTTACGGAGTGCATTTTTGAGGCTGAGGTGTTCGGTAGAAAATGACACATCTGAGTGAATAGCATTGGTACTTTGTTCAGATCACTGTGTAATACTGCCTCTGTGGTGACTTTAAACTTAGAGATACCTAATACTCAACAGTTGTGAAGAAATTGTGTTGGCCAATCTTGTGACTTAAACTTAGGAGGTTGTCAAAAAGTATTTGGGGAACAGCAGTTAGCACAGTTTGGTATTCCTGTTTCACCTGTCTGGAAAATGTATTTTTTCTGTGGCTGGAGCTTGAAGACTTGGTATAAATAGCAGTAATAAGGAGAACTGATGATATTAGATGTAAGCATAATGCCTTCAGCAACTCAAAGTAGACTTAAGGAAAAAAAGTCTCCTGTTTTTGTTTGCTTAAGAATCTGAAATGGGTTGGTCACCATGTTGTGCGTGAGGAGAGGAATCTGTCTTTTTTCCATGTCAGTTCAATTATTGCTGTCATACACTTTAGAGGACTGCAAACTGCTGGAATCACATAGTTTTCTGAGTTTCTGAGACCCAGCCTCCCGGGTTTTAGGTGTAGTACAGAATACATGTTTTGTTAGGAAATTGTCCTGGGGTTTGGGAGAAATGGGCTGCCTTGTACCATGCATAGCTATGGCACAATAATTTTTGAAGGCTAACAGAGATCTTTGCCTCCTTTGTCCCTGCAAAGAATTATGATGTCTCTCTCCTTTTTTTTTCTTCTCGGCTTGTCTTATGTACTTTTCAAGTCACTTTCTTTTCCCCTTAGAGAGCTTAGCTTTGCCTTAGCTCTCTTTCCTGCCACCTGAAGATAAGTGTTTTGGGCAGTGGGTTTGGTTTTTAAATCCCTGCACATCATTTATTGTATCCATGTCCCTCAAGTTCTGTACATGTTTGTGGTAGTTGTCAGGCCATCATCAAGCAGTCTGTGGACTAGGACGCTAAGACACTTGACAGATGCTTAATGCCATCCAGGGAAGAAAGGCTGTACCTCATGGGTCAGTAATTTCCAACCTAAAGTCTTTCCTTGCACACCGTTTGCTTTTACAATTTCTAAACCAATTTACATATTTATTGTCCAAAACTGGAAAAGATTTTTCACAGAGTTCTTTCTATGGAGATCACTCATCTGTTTTGTTCTCTGTTAGGTACTTTAGAAGGCAACTTTGTGACTTAGCTATGAGTAAAACTCATTTAGGTGGACACATAGTATCTGACTCCTCTTTCCACTGTTGGGTTGAACTTCTGCCTGTTCCTAGGGTTAGGTTTGAATGAAGAAAGGAGAGAGAATCTTTGTTTCAAGTGGTAGATGCTTGAAGCTAGCAAGAATGTCATCCTCCGATAAGCTCTTATGTGCCATCTGGACTAAATGTAAGTTATCTTTGTGGGGATCTTAGAGAGGTGTCATTTGCATAAAGTTTTTTCATATGCAGAGCTGGTGTGCTGACAAAACAACAGACTGTGGTTCCCTTCAAAAACTCTGCTGGAAGTCAGGAGTCCTGACTGTTAGCTTTCAGCTTGCTTTGCCATTGTAGAAGTGGATCATGTTCTGACAACTCTTTTTAGTAGATCCACCCAAGAAAACAATTTTCTACTAGTTGTCCTTTGTGTCATCTGACAGAAGCTGTCAGCACCATTGGGATATCTATGAAGAATGGTCTAATTTGAATTATGTTCGTCATTAAAAAGTTGCAGTTCTAAGAGTTATAGATACACAAGGCTTGCTGTCTGTTTTTTCTCATATTCTGTATTTGTTACTATTGGACTCTTCCTTAGATGATCCTCATGGGCTAGAAGAGACCCACTTTAGAGTTTAACTGAACTGTGCAAATTGTAGCGAAGAAAGTTCTTCGTAGGTGAGCTAGGAAGGTATATAGGGAATGAGACAAATGAGATGGTTATGTTTTCAGAGTCACAGTGCTTTTTTGCTTCTAGAAGTGGATTTAATCTTGTCTCTGCCACAGAACTCCCTGCTAATCAGGTCATGCAGTAAACTTGCACAGGACCTCTATCAGCTGCCCAGCTTGAAGCAGGGCTGAAGATTGCTGATGGGAGAAATATGCTAATTCTGCCCCATTCTGGGGGTTGCCATGCTATCACATCTTGCTGCAAAGGCTCAAGTTCAGTTCTTGGTGCGTTTGTATCCCTGGCTTGGTCTGGGGTCTCTGTGTGTAATACAGTGAAGATATTCTCACTCTGTCAGACTGTACAGTTCATCACTTAAAAACAAACCCAAACCCTCATGCTTAGGATGCAGCTGCCGATGGGTATGGTTGAAGCAGGCTGATACAAAATTTCAATATGCAATTACAGCTTAACTGCAGAAGTAACACTGAACAGTCATTCAGTACAGCAAAGGGGGTTGGAATCTTGGAGAAGTCCAGGATTTCACAACCTTTGTCATCTGTGCAGACAGAAACTGATGTAAAGTTGCAAAACTAACCATGCTTCTGTTGTTTTAGTGTGTTTGACTTGCTAACTTTTAAGCACCATCTTAAGACAGAACACCTGAGATATTCAAACCTAGATGCTTCATGCATTTAAAGAGCATCTTGGAGTCCTCAAATGCCTTTGTTAAAATCACTTTTGTTGATGGATGCATTTGACCTGCAAAGTTATATTTTTTAGCAGCTTAAGCTGAAATACTAGAACTATTATATGTGTGAGATGAATGGGAACTTAGTGTCTCAGGCTCAGGTGTTACACTTAAATTGGGGAGCCTATTTTGTGTGTTTAAAAAGCTAAGTTTGCTAGAATAATGACAGTTAATATTTAATTCTCTGTTACAGTAGTTATGTAGGAAAAACCAAGCAGTGCTGAGGAGCTGTTCTGCAGTTAATAGTAAGCTTTGTCATCAAGCTGTTCTGCTGACTGATTCACTCCTGTGAATGGGGCTGACAGCTCAGACCTTCTCAGCAGGTCACAGAACTGGTAGTTGAGCTATTTCCAGAACCAGGATCTCCAGGTATAACCTGTTTTGATTCTCTGAGGTGAAAAGCCTACTGTTAAAGAGGAGTTAGTGTTTCTTACAATGGACAGATTTGTAGTCAGATGTTTTTCCTAGCTCTGTCCAATTCTATTCTCATTAGAATGAATAGCAGTATTAGAAGAAGCTTATTTCCTGGAAACTAGTCTTCCTCAGGACAGTATCACTTCTATCCTAGAAGGAGTTGGAGAAGACTAGGGAATTATTAGAAATGCAGGAAGTGGTTAAATAATCAGCATCTCTTTAACTGTCAAAGAGACAAGGTACAGGAGTCTGGCAGCAAATTAACACGGTCAGCCCAGAAGGGGTCCATCCTTCTGTCTCTGTTCAGTAGGAGGAAAATGCTAGTGCTTTGTATCCAGCCTAGTGACTGGCAGAATTCCCCTACAACTGTATCACTTGTACCTCAGCTTTATGCTAAGCACATCTGTAGGTTAAGATTTTAATATCACTGTTACAGCAGTTGGTATAATGTTCATAATTTCTTTATTTGAGTAAAGTATGTACATATTTATCAGGAGAGACAATTCCACTATTTTCCAGAAGCATGTAAGACAGGAATTTTCTTGGCCATATAGTCATCGCAGTTTTGTCAGTTGCCTTCCAGAGTTTATTCTGATGTCAGAACACTACCCTTGCGAGTTCAAACATAACCTGTGAAATAGCAAACACATCATTAAATCAATGACCAATTCTTAGCAATCTTTAAAACAGCTTAGACTGTAAGCCAGAAAATAATTACAGCTGCAACTCAAAAGCTACTTGCAAAGAACTGAAGACCAATCCCCTTGTACATTACATGAATAAGCTAATCTTGATTTTTCAAACTGAGGTATATAAATTGCACTTATTATTACATTCTTCAATGTGATAGTGGGGAAAAAAACCCTCCCCAACCAACCTCTATGGTGATGAGTATTACTATCATCCACTCGAGGCGCAGAGCATGCTTTTCATTCAGGTGGTTTCGCATTAGGTCTGTCAACTCCATGCAGTGCTGAAGTTTTTCATTCATTACCTACAACAGATTTCCAACACAGGGCAAAGCTGGATTCTACACATTGTATGAGATCACAATGAGAAGCAATCCATAAAGGGACTCACTGCAGAAAGCTGTTAACATTTCTGTGAAAGTGCAGAATGCAAAGTCCTGTAGCATGCACAAGCAATGGGAGTTCTAATACAACTCTAATTTCACCAGTCAGAAAAAAACAAATACAAATTTAGATATGCATATGCAGGTATTAAACAGCTACTGGGTGACATTTAGTCACAAAACAATGCAAGCAAATAATACGCAGCTCATGGGAATGCCTCAAAAGTAGCTAAATAAGTATGTAAGGTTGCTGTACCACTGGAAGAGGTATCTCATGCTTATTCTGGTAGAGCAGTAAGCATTACATTGCCCTGCAATGAACTGACCTGGATGATCATGTCATCAGTAAGAAGACTGCTTCACATCACATTTTTTTTTTAAACTTGTTTTCTTGCACACGTTTCAGAAAAAGAATTAAAGCTCCTCTTCTTACAACTATTTAAAGCCTAAGTTAGTGGCTCAGGAAGTACAGAATCCATTTAAGTCTAGGTGGTTGAGGCAGGGTTGTTAACCTAAACTGGGTAAAAGATGTGAGTGGGTTACGAACACAGAAAGGGGGATGGTGTACAGGAGCCTGTTGGTCTTTGACTTTTATAAAATTAAAATAGACATTCGTGGAGCAATCTGTAGCCTGGCTGAGCCACTGACAGCTGAATGGAATATTGAAAACCATTACAAAAGTAAGACACCTACCTTAACTCTGCGATTAATATTGAGAAATTGGCATGTTTTGTCATAAAGCTCTTCCAGTTTTTCTCTATCCCAGTAGAAGTCAGGTGTTATTAGCAGGTCTGAACTCAGATTTATGCGGTGTCTAAAAAGAATGGTTACTGCAGAAGTTCAAAGTTCCTTTTGGTGCATATAGGAGCAAATATTTACACAGTAATTAAAATAAAAATTACAAAGTTTTTCTTAAATAAAATACGAGAAGGATCTCATTCATAATAAAAACGCACATGTAGTCGCTGTTTAAAACTGTTAACATCTCCTGAAACTTTTCCAAGAATACTGTAATATGCGCACCTGCTTTAATTGCTTGTAATTTTTCATGACCTCCCCTGTCTGTACAGAAGTCCTTCACTATGCTAGTAGCTCAATGAAGATGATCCATATGTGAATTAAAGTTACAGGGGAGGTCCTTAACAGCTTGTTTCTATTTGAGAACTCTTTAAGTGTGACCGACAATGCTCACTGGGGATGGGAGCACAGTTCAGAACCAGGCTATTATCTCAACGTTATAAAGGCTAGGAGATAAAGTCTTCAGTGTACTCAGGTCTTTGTATCATGCACAACTCGATTTTTAATTTTTGTATGATATGATCTTCAGTGTAACAAAAAATGTTACCTTAACGCAAAAAGTTCTCCGATTTTCTGCATGACATCTGCGTGAGATAGTTTTACCTTCCTTCTTGATTTTAGTATCTGCAAAGTAACAAATTTTACCTGCCTGATCAAATAGCATTTACTAGTGGTTAAGAAGTCCGAAGTTGTACAGCCTGAAGTGTGTATATATGTATATATATATGACTTAAAATTTAAACAAGTATCAGATTTAGTAACACTTAAGTTTGGTTTCCATAGTGCCTTCCTTATCTAGCTTGATAAGAGTATTGTCGTTCAGCTGTTCTCCCAGGTAAGAATCCTGGAACACTTTCTGTGAATCATTTGTTCTCTCTCAATACTACTGCTATTTTTAAGGCATGACAGTTTTCTTTTTACCTTGCTGTTGTTCAGCTTTTCTACAGATTTCTTCTCACTTGAAAAAATGTATTACTATTTTTTCTCTTCATTAATAATAAACGAGGGTTTATTTTTTTTAACCCCATGAGTCTTATTTTTGTATGCGACATCACATGGGCTTCTTATTTTAATTACACCTCATGAGAAAGTGTACTTTATATGTAACACTCATGAACTCTTAATTACATTGAAATTACAGCACACTGCTTTGAGGCCAAGCCGTCACACTATGTTATGTTTGGTCAGGCTTTTAAATGCTGCTTGTGAACATCTATCGATAGCAAGTAGCAGTGGCACAGAATGGGAAAAGTTATTCCACTGCAGTTTTCCCCATGCTATGACCCAGCCCTTTACAGACTGCCAGTTTTTAGTCCCATTTTGTCCCTTTAAAAATGTTCTGAGCTTTCTATCTTGATGGATTTACAATCAAATGTGTTAAGTATCTAGTTGCTTTTTTCTATATCCTTGGCTGTATCTAGAGTGATCCACGTTTTACACAGCACAGGACAAAATGAGGAGAAAAGTAAAAACAAGACCTCACCTCAGGAATTGACTGGATAGATTCCACAAAGTTATCCAATAATGATTCCCAAATAGCCAGTTTTACTGCAACACAGAGGTGACAAAGCATAATGCTGTGAGAGGCAGGGATGTATGCTTTCAAGTAATCATATATATCTGCCAAAATACAGCGCTGTTTGAAGACACGCTGACACAAGCATATCCATAGTGAGTTACCCATTACACTGTACAACTGATGTATTCATACATCTACAGACAAATTTGGATTGTGTAACGACACAAATCTGCCTGCAGAATCACCTTGAGCTCAGCTCTCCTCCCCAGTGGATCGGTTCAGACCCTGGAGAGGTTCTGCTTCAGCTTAGGATGGTGAGTTTGAGTGCTATACTGTGTGTATGAAGCCTTTGCAAACTCCATTCCAAGGAGGCATCACAGATGCTAGAAATGCTTAGCCTTGCTGGAGTCAAGCTGACTTCACATGGTGACAGTCAAGTTTCCACTGCATTTCTACAGTGTTGTGCAGAACTTTGACTCCATCTGTCCAGTGTGTGATGAAGTATGCTCAAGCCAGTGAGAATTAGCTTGTATATACACCACCACCTGTATTTGTTGAAGCTAAATCCAAACTTAGATAAATCTCCAATTTTGTTTTTTTGGTGAATATAATGTTAACTTCAAATATTAAAAAAAAAAAAAAAGTATTCTCTGGAAGTTGTTAATCCCACTTAATACCAACACAAGTTCTCCTGTGTCTCAACTTGAGCCTTAAAGTTGATTTCTACGTCGACATGCAGAAATCAGGCTGTTCTTTAATCCCTGAATTCCCAAGGAAGAATGAAGTAATAAATCAGACCAGTTCCAAAAATTACTTCCATCCACTCAGAGAAATTAAACAGAAAAGATTTAATTCTTGAACTCTTTTGTGGTCATAATTGTATTAGTCAAGAAGCACAATAAACCCAGTGCTGAGCATTCTTCATGTTCATCTTGTGAGTATGGAGCCCTAATCCAAGTCAGTGACTTAAACAGCATTTAATTTAGCCTTTGAAAATAGACATTTCAACTATCAATGATTATTTGACATAGGTTAGCTTCTGTTGTGTCAAATTTGACTTTGACTATACTTGCATCCCTTAATAATACTGAACATTGCGCTGTCTTCCTTTATGGTGTACATGTTTCATAGTAACATAACTTGGCACCAATTATCTCCTGGGAATAAATCCCTTGCTCCATTATATGTGGTAACATTTTTTCATGCTCTGGCTTTAACAACAGCAAAATTAAAGGCTTTTTTCCTTAGTAGCTCTTTCTTCAGCAGTCAAGAACCATTTAGTTATTATGCTCTATGTCTTGATCAAGCAGTATATCACTTCCAGAACGTGCATTCTGTTTCTTGATGTCTTCTGTTTAGAGTTATGTTCCCCCACATAGTATAATGAATCTTAATTTACTCCAAAAGCAGTAGAGGTTTTCCTTTAAAGTCTTCTTGAGAACAGCCTTGTTGCTGCTGGTTTCTATTCCCACTTTCTACCTCATTCTAAGTTCTGAAGAAGCAGAGATTATTTCCTTGGTCAGAAGCATTACTGCTGAGCCTGACTTCTTCTCAGTGCCTCCTGATATAAGTACCACGATGGCACAGAGCCATTGCTAACAGTCCTGGAAAATATGGTCTGAGACTCCAGTCCACACACTTGATGCTGCTTGACTTCCCAAGCTGAAAATCTGTTTTACAGCTCTGTCTGGTTTAGTTGGTATCAAGTTTTTTTTTTCCTGTTAATGATGTCATGATCAATTAAGAGTACTGACAGCTTTTTAATACTGGGCTACGCTCTTGACTATCCTAGAGTAATCTCAAACGTGGGCAATGGGATGCTTAGTAGAATGTCTTTAGCAAAGTATTTCCTTAAGGAGTTTTGTTCATCTTTAAGATTTAAATTGCAAAAAGTAATTCAAATTTAAGGAAGACAAAGTAAAAATGAATCCTCCCACTGATGCGCAATCAATCTTTATACAGTTTACCAAAACCAGACACTAAGTCTTCTCCAACCTTTTAATGTACAAGTTCCCACTCACAATGGTATTTCACTAAATTTGTAGAATGAACTGATAGTACACAACAGTGTGAACTTACCAGAAAGACACAGGGCATTTGAAAAGGCAAATTTCTGCAGAATGACTTCATCAGTATCCAGCTCAGAATTTAACAAGATTTCTCCCTTATGAAGCTTTGATTGCCCTCTGTAAGAACAAGATTGAAGCATCTTCATCAACTAAACCAAACATCAAAGGAACATTTGAAGAACAATCAATGGAAGAAAAATTGGTTTTCTTTAAAGATAATGATCTATCTACATGGCTATTACCCTTGTTGCATTTTATTTATGTTCAGTACAAAAATAACCACACAGATAACTGAAAATAAGTTCCTCAGTCTTAAGACTATGTCAGGAATCACAAATTCCACAACTGGATAGTCAATACAGTTTTCAAATGGCCAGAAAAGAAACAAACAAACAAAATCAAAAAACAACCAACCAAAAAAACCCACAGCTGTCCTCTTAACAAATTACTTTAAATAAACTCAAACTCATTAGCTCAGCTTATGGTATTTCTGTCTCCTAAGTACAGTTTTTTGGTGCTGTTGGAAAATTACAAATAAATGACATCACCAGTGACATTGATAAGTATCTCCACAGAGATCATTTGCTCTCCATGTTGAAAAAAGTAGTTAAAAAGACAGGATGGGTGCCAGATTTATCTGTCCATGTCACTCAAGCTATGTCTTTCCTAAGAAGTGAAGTATGTGCAGAACACAACTTTGCATTTGAACTAGAAAACCTTATCCAGAGAAATTCGGTATCTCCTTTAAAATCCAAATTGTTTCAATAAAGGATATTTATTTTCCCTGTGAGGCACTTATGATCTCTTTGGGACACCTGAAGAACATGTTCAGTTGTGTGAACATGGAGCTTCATAATTTATAAACTCTAACATATTACCAAGTCATAAAGGTGGTTAATTGAAAGTTTAGCAGTTCAGCAAAATCTGTGAATTTATGTTTACTGTTCTCTCCCTATTTTACTCATTTGAAAAAAAAAAAAAAAAGGAAAGTGTATTTTTACCAGTTGCTTTCAACTGAATTTGTTTTAGAAGTCTGTAAGCTATTGAATAAACACAAGCACTTGAAAATACTTACTCTCCTATTCTATAGTTTATCTCTTCGTTTTCCCAGTGGACTAATGCAACTTCATATGGCTGAATTTCATGCTGTTCCAGCACTCGCATTATATTCTTCATCTAAAAAAAAGACAATACACATAACAGTAGTTACTACTGTAACATATTATCACTCTATGAAGAGCTAGCATGTAATACATTGATGAAGGCAACTTTCCTGCTTATTAATGTTATTCAAATAAAAACAAGTAGGTGTGCTAGTAACTTTTTTTTATTGTAAGGAAGCAGTTATTACCACAGTTTATTTTGAAAGCTATGTGGAAGAATTTTGTGTCTGTGAACAACTGCAAAGGATCTGTGAAAATGTCATTCAATGCCTGCATTTATAAAACAAGGTAAGGATTAACCACAGCAGCGGTAAAGACTTTATGAAGAAGTACAGCAGTGAGCTGCACAAGACTTTGGCAGATGTCTGAGTGTGGGAAGAATCTTCAGGAGAAATACATCAGGTGGCCATTTCTTCCAAAATTACTAGTTTGCTAAAGTCAATAGTTTTGTTTCAGTGACCTATTGTATATTCTGAATATTGTAGTTAAATATATATATATTTTTATATATTTTTTTTCTTTTTCATTTTTTTTCAGTAAGGAAGTGTATTGTTAGGCCAACCAGTTAGTTACACTGCTTCCAGGGAAGTCCTGCTAAAACAATGCCAGAATTAACTGTTGATCCATAATGCAGCATGCCAGATTTCAGGGGTTTATTTACCTGGATCCTGGTAGCCTAGTTGTCATTGTGGAGTCATGATCAGTATAGTAATAGTTACACTGTTAGCAAATGAAGAGTCTATTCCAAAACTACTTCCAGCTCAGAGTAAGATTTAACAAAGGTTTACAGACCATAACCGTGTGTGAAATTCACGTGCCTTGTAATACGCATACTTCCAAAGTTCTGCCATTCATCTGGATAACAGGAAATGATGTTTCAGTGGCAGCTTTCTTTTAAAGTGATACAAAAGCTTCCATTAATTGACAGGAGATTATTCCCAGCCCAGCCTAATTTTATGGAAGGAGCTACCTGTCACAGTACATTTAATGAGAAGAGATCTTTTGGATTCATTAAGTGCAAACTCACGCAATTAGAGGTGACTGCATCACAGAATCACCTTCTAACAAAACTGATGCACTCCACCTTGAAGCTAGTTTATTTTTTTTGACCCAAAGCTCAAATTTGGTGGGTGTATGGGAATTGCTAAGTCATGGCCTGAACCAATGACTGAGCACCTGGTGAAGCCAGCCCTGAGAGCACAGGTGGAACCAGGCTCCACACCTCCCTAAACCTCATTTAAGGGCTGGCTGCTACCAGGGAAGGATTTCTACTTGGAGATCCCTTTCTTTGGAGTGTTTGGTAAGCCCTGATCCTTAGGTTGGGTAAGTGAATCTTTCTTTCTTTAACTGGGTTATGATCATCACCCTTTTTTGGGTAATCTAGAACTGGTTATCTGTTATTATCTTTCCCTACAGTGGGGAGGATACTGCATGACCTTACTGCTGAGGTATCTGAAAAAAGTATTTTACAATTTCAAATCTCAGTTACAGCAGCCTGTAGTTATTACTACTTCTGTTCAGTGTCTACTAGCTTAAAATAGTTTTTCCTAGTATACTATATAGTATTCATTCTGGAGTACTTTTAAAGAGCAATTTTGTCCATTCATAGTGAGTCCCTACACACTACTTTACTGAATTACTTTCAGTTTCTTTTCAACGGGCCTTTTTTTCCTTGCTTCAGTTCATTAAAATTCATGTATTAAAAATACTGTCCTGTATTTGAGCAAGGTTTTTGAAAACTAAAACAAAAAACTAAAACTTTTCACAGAATAAAAAAGGCAGTTTTTCCTTTTTATAAGTAGAACTAACAAAAGCACCAACTAAAGTTGCTCCTGACAGAAAGAATTTATCAGGTTTTCAGTGGTACTTAAGAATGTAAAATCATACATGAAAATTAGATTTTTTTCAGAGGGCAGAAGTGCCCAATTCATAAAAATCAACAGGGGTTGGTCAGCTAGTCTTCAGTAACACCTGTGAGTCAGTAGCAGAGTTACTGCCATAGCACCCTGCAAGGTTTGAAGGAAGAGCTAGTGTATTTGTAGGCTAGCTGAGGTAACCCTCCAAAACAGACAGAAAATCAGGAGCATTTCAGGTCTGATACAGAAAAAACAAACCTGAATGCAGAAGTAGTTCACATCTGGAAGCAACTACTGTGTTTTTATTTACATTAGTGAAAATCTGTCTATAAACTGTCCGTCTCAGTATCATCTCTTTAACATACCCATTAGTTTCACATACACTGCCTACAGAGAAGATGAATGCCTTTATCTATCTAAACCTCAAACCACAGTAAAAAAAAAAAAGTATTTTTAAATAACTAGAAATATATTCATAAAAATAAATATGCCTGCAGCATACCCCTCTTGGTGGGCAAATAATATTGAATTATCATAAGGGATACGTTATTTCAATATTGCTATTTTTTAACAATTATACCAACCAATGAAAACCTTCTTTTAGGAAAAATTGCTCACTGGTAAAAACATAAAACAATGTTTAAAAAAAACCCAACTGTTTCCAAATTTTGCCCTTTGCAAGTCATCCAAATGTAAGTTTTGACTTAAATGGCTCTGGAGTGATCTTTTACTGCTCTTTTTTTTTTTTTTTTTCTGATTTACTTTTTCAGTATATATTGCTGTAGGGGGAAAAAAAATTCTCTCTGTCAACCTCACGAGATTAAGGTTTCAGGTCTTTGGACTTCAGAGATTTCACCCCCTTTGTACGTTACACATCTATTTGCTTATTTTGCACAGAAAGACAGGCTTAAAAGGTCACGTATAGGCGATGTATCAGCAACCCACACACTTGAGGGCAGCAGCCGCACTCCTTAGAGAAGAATCAGTCCTTTTCCTTCCTGGGGTGATCCAAGTTCTCAGAAAAAAACCAAAGCACAATGGGCTTTGTGGGACTGACAAGACATCTGCTGACGAAGCTTTAACAAACGGTTTTTCTTTACTTACACTTTTCTCATCCACATTCCAAAACACAACAGCCCCTTCCCTGTGAATTCAAGGAAAAACTGAGGTGTAATTACACTATTTTAAATGTACTTTAATGCAATAGTCAAATTGTATGGTGGCAATTCTTGACGCTACGAATTATGGAATTTAATACTAATGTACAGAGACTGCGCAATAGTCGCTTTTTAACCATACTTCAGTATAAAACATTAAAATGTCTGTTTTTTTTTCCCCTGTGTAAGTATGATTTTTCTTTTAAAATTCTGTATCATTTAGATTGGACAGTTATTCCTTGAGCTTCATGAGGTGGTTTTTAGCAAACCGCACTGCTTTCGCAGGAATGCTATTTGTAAGATAACATTTCAGACATAGTTTATAACTTACCTGAAGAAAAAAATCATGCCAGGATCATCTTCTTTTGCAGATTTCTCAGTACCCATCACCAAAACATTTGCAGCATCTAGTTTGAAATAAATGAACAAACAAAAGTTCAAAATGGAGAATTATTTAAATTTCTAAATGCAGTAGCTACAAGCACAATTCTAGTTTAAAGTCAGTTCTGTATCCTATTTTTCTGATTAAAAAGCTATAATATAAAGCTACACAGCTTCTCTGAAGTGTCATGCTAGATAGACTCAGCTATGATGTTGAACTTCACTGGGAACTGTAGTTAATGAAATACAGTTGTTTTAAAGAACAAAAGACTTGAGGAAAAAAAATTGATGCAGGGCACAGTAAATAACCAAGAGCAGAATACAGAAGGCAGAAGTGAACACGTAGCATGGAATGATGGAAATAAGCCCACAGTTGCAGAGTAATTACCAACATCTTTCTCTTTTATTTAGCAAGGGACTAATCTGCACTCAAATTTTGCTGACTGTGCTTTGATAGAAACCTGAAAAAGCATACCCCAAAGACAGAAGTTACATCTGTGTTTTCCTTTGGATCAAAGCATGCTTTTGAAACAAATCTTCTAGTCACTCTCATTTACCACACTTTTGATTTGCATTGCAGAAGTGTCAGAATGCATGAACTGTATCTATTTTGCATGAAATTAAACTGAAAAATGAATTCCAGTCACTAATAGGGGTTCATTACAGGAGACCAGACTCAAGCCAGTGTATGCAGAATGCTTCCAGTGTGGATCCTGAGTTCTCAAACCAGTTTTTTCTTATGCCCTCTACATATCTGCTTTGCTGTACTACTTTGCTAATGTGGACATTGCTGCACTGGGGCCAGGCAGACCAAGGTGACAGGAAGAGATGTCTAAATAAGTATAGGATGCAACTTTGCTAGTAGCTGAATTGAGAGCATGCTGCTGATCTTTATGAACTCTTTAAAGATTTCTCTTTCACTTGCTATTCCAGTTCAGGAACAACTGATTTGATGAATCACTAGGGCAGGTTCTGGGTGTGAGGCTGGAGTTTACCACAGAAGAAACATCTGTCTGCACTTTCTCATTTGCCTTTTCCAGTATTGCTCTTACTTAATCTTTCTTTATCCTCCCCAGATAAAATATATATAGTGAATGTCCATTTGGTCCCTTATAAAGAGTGCTACAGTATCAATCTCTAAAATATTTTTAAAGTGATTGGAAAAGAATGATATTAGGAAAAACACTACAAAGCAACAAATCCACACTAATTGCTAATTTAGATTTCTATGTGCTAGTATTTTTCAGATGTATGAGATACAACTTTTGACTGGGTAACTTAGCATTGTTACATCTACATACCAACCACCACAAAGTTTGCTGTCACAATCAAACTAACTTTCATCACTTTCTGAACACTTTTGAGAGAGTACCTATTGTAAGGGGTCCAAAACACACAGTAAAGAAATGAAAGAATTGGCAAAACCCACATTCCCAGGGTAAAATACCAGCAACAGTAACATGAGCATCACAGCACTTCGGGATAACTCTATCCTGAAGCACTAAGAAGAATGTTATTTTTAATACAGAGGAACTATGAAAGACCATGGAGCCTATACTATGTAATGCCTTCTTTCTGAGAAAGACAGCCAGTTCTCAAGTAATCTTTATAAAGATCCACCGGAGTACTGTCACGCTTGGTTTCTTCAGAGAGACAGCCAGACATTTGATAACCAATCATGAAATGTCCATGAAGGATATATTTTGCTTCACATAATCTGTTCATTCACAAAAAATAATAAATCTACTGCCAACATATGAAAATCACAGCTGCTCTAGGCCTAGAAGGTCTTTAAGCTATAAAAAGCTCTATTTGTTTTTTTTTCTTGCAGTGTGCTTCTGCTATTTCCATGCCAAACCTTCCCAAGTCTTCAGAGATACTTTGTATAGATCCGGAACCAATTATTGCTGAAGGGAACCATTCACCAATTACCAGGATATATTTGGCCCAGTATAAAATATCAGCTATGTTCTCTTTACCAGAACTAAATATCTGTATGTGTATCTTCTACATTTCATGTAGTCAGCAAGATTCTCTCTCATGCGCCTCCAGCCCTCAGCAACTTACATTAATAGAAATGTGAGTATGGAAAGAAGGCGCAACACTTCAAATTACAAAACCGTTGACAGCTGAACCTCTGTGGTATCACATTACTGAAACACTGATTAAAGTAAACTTTCAGAAAATTTTCAGTTAGTGAATTTCTATGAAAGAAGAGTTTCTATTAGAAAATTTCATTTATGTTTTCTTGAATGTATTCTCAATACTATCTGATTTTTTTTTTTTTGATTCTTTTAGTATAAGAGTAATTTAGGGAAAAGTTATTATACAGTAACAGCAAAATGGTTCACTTTAATTTTTATTTTATTCAAAGCAAATGCAATTTTAAATAGAGCTATATTTATACATTCCAGGGATTACCAAAATGAAAACATATGAAGTTATAAAAATTTAAATATCTACCCATATTTCATTTCCCAAGATATAATACCGCCTTTAAGATGCTTTAAAAATCTACCTCTGGGCAAACTTGTTATTTCAACATATCCATGGGAAGTCAGGTCATGACACAGATTACCAAGATGATATTCATCTGCTGTTGCAAAGGCTGTGCACTGCATCAGATTCTGTGCCAAAGGAATAAAGATTTGAGTTAGGGAAAGGCTGAAGCAAGATGTACACAAGACATGCTCATGTTTGCCTCAAAGCAATCACAAGGGTGATGTTTTTCATTTATTCACTCTTTTCTACTATATCATTGTTCTGCTGTCCGCTTGTTGTATAAATACTAACGAGATCAGTTATTCCCTGTTAAGTGGGGAAGCAAACATATCCCACATTCATAGACTGAGATCCAACTACATGTCACGAGTAAGTCACATCAACAAACTTCATGAGAGGGCCACAAATGGAACCCTTCTTCCCTGAATGGCAGTGGAATGCTTTAGCAGTACAGCCACAGTTGCTCACCCCTCCCACAACCTATGACGTACTTGGCTGACCAGCAAAATCAAAAGCAAGACACCCTGAATACCAGCCTATAGATCTCTGAAGTAGCAAACATAAGCTCCAGCTGCAAATGCTGTGTTCTGAGCATTGAGCTTACTGCCCAGGTAACTCCTGGGACCTAAACCATCATAGCACTGCAGCACAGCAAGTCACAGACCTTCAGTGCCAGCCCAAATGCTGCACATCATCAATGTTTCCCTCCGAGTGAAATCTTGCGCTGACAATGCAGCCTCAATTGAAACCACAGTTTGAGTGGTATACAACAGCCAGAGTTTGTCTCCATGTTCCACAGTCCTACACGAATAAAATGCCACAGTGAAACAAATAACTGGCACCATGCAAGAAGATGAGGAAAGTAAGATCAACTCACGCATGGCAGAGAGATCAAACATCTGTGTAAAAGCTTTCCTGATGAATTCAACAAGGCACAATAAACCGGTCTACAAAACCTACTCCCCATTTTAAGTACATTTCTTTGTTCTGATACCTCATATATCCCATTATGCTGTTTTTTCAGTACAATGTAATGGAAGATATCCAGAAAGCAATGCTTCTCATTGCAGATCAGTCTCTTTCCAGCTTTTTGTAACTAACACAAGTGGGGATGTGACTAACAACAAATGTACAGAAGAGCTGTACTCATCTGCAAGTGCTTATATCCACAGTATGCTTCAACTTAGAATTCAAATAATATTCTCATGGCACTCATACACTGTCGAACTGCAACATGTGAAAAGGTGCTCTGCTCCTTAAGGAGGCCCAGAACCAGTAAGCTGGATCAAGGCCCATGTTTAAATTTCTTTTTTTTTTTCCTTAATATTAAAGTTGTTGTCATTTCCAAAGTTTTGTTTACATCACTTTCTTTCAGTGACCACTATCAGAGAGCAGTTCTGTAGTTGTGATCCCATGACTGTGCTGTTAACACAGTTAACTGCTGCTAACAGTAGAACAGAACTGTATTTTCAGTTCCCTTGCTTCAGTACCTTTGAAAAGCTGCATTCTTACAGTATCATCTGTACAAAACCATTCCCAGCATCTTAACTGCCAGTGTGAATTATACATTTTAGATTCTTCTAGAAAACTCTGGTTAATATAAGCACACACACGCCGACATGAAATCCTTCAGGGAGCACACCGTTATCTTCTAGCTAGTATATCACCTGAAAATCCTTACCCTGATCTATATTTTCTGTAGTTAAATTTGTTACTGTTCACTTAAAGGTAGATGTGCTACAGGACAGACTGTTTAATTTACGGCTGTGATTTTAGTTTTCACGCAAAGACTTTAATTAGCACCAGAAGTTGGCTGCCAAGATGTGCCTGAAATAGCAGTTTACATATGTAGCGTGGATATGGTTCTTTTTTTAAATTATTTTTAAACAATGCACTGTTTCACCTTTACTAAAATATTGTTCGGTGAGGGACATTTAGCATGGGTGTAGAGCTTAAGACACCTATAATTTATGTGTCCACAGGTATTCTAGGTGCTCAGGCTTCCATGGTAGTTGATGGAGATGTAACACAGAGGTCCATAGTCAGCTCATCCTAAAATACTTGCGTTAATTGGCTGGTAAACCTTCATCCTATACTGTCTGTTACGTCACCTTCACCTGCAAACTTGCCTAGAATAAAGGCAGCCCTGTCCTGCTGACAGCAACTCCAGCCACTTGCCACCTCCTCTTCCTGGCTGCACTTGGGTTCATTAAGATACAGTTCAGAGCTCCAAAGCAACCATCGGATCAGCCATTCTAAGTACTCATTTTCTGTATCATCCTCCCCCCAGCAACTGCACAGGAACTATCATTCTCATAACTCATCCCTTGCATTTTGAGAATGCAAACATTTTTAAGTAAGAAAACCTATAAAATGAACTTAAACTTCTCATCACTGCAGGCACTCATCTTTATCTCAAGGATACCTGCTACTCCATCTTCAGTTGATTTTCAAGCTTTGTCTAGGCAACAGCACTAAAAATCAGCTTAAAGGCTTCTCATGTCTTGTGAGACCTTGTGAGATGAGTAACTAATCCAAGTAGCAGTGACACTATGCACTGAATAGCTAACCAAACCAGTTATCACGTTGGAGTAAGCCTTCCATCTATCCTGAAAAACTGGTCTAATGATCATTTATCACTGCTGGTGCATTCTATCTGCAGACAGCACCAGAAGATGAGTGCTTAGAAGGAGCTTATCCATGAACCATTCTGCAAAAGGAAGTTGTTAACGAACCCATCAAACAGAAAACATCAGGGACCTCAGGGATCACCTAACTGAAAATCTAAGGAGTCTACAGCATGTTTCCAGGGGCAGACAGTGAATGAAGACAGCAGCCAGCTCTAAGCTGCATTGGAAACATGGCTTATGTTACTGGAGGGATCTTGGTTTCTTCAAAACATGCAGAGGAAGACAAGATCGGCTTTTTTGTGACACCAGGATTTAGAGAGAAATGACAGCATGGTGGAAAAAGAAAAAAACCATCAAGGATTCTCCATATCAGGATGGATTCTCCATCTTACAGAAAAGTCTCATCTTTCAGTTAGCTCTTTACATTACATGTCTACAAGGGAGTATACAAATAGGTTCCAAAGGAAAAAAAAAAAAAAAAAAAAAAGCAGCTTATTCCAAAATGCTGTCAGCCTGCACAGGGTCAGGGTGACAGCCTGGCAATACCCCTGTAGATGGAGCTGTATGTTTGACAAAACCACACACTGTTTATTTAAAAATTGAAAATGGTTTGTTAGGTCCTAGTTTACATGATTTCTGGCACACCATTTTGCAATGTGGGATCTTCCCCAGAAATGATATTAGTTCAGTCTACCAGGCAGAATGTTTTCAATTCTTTCAAAATGGAAGAAAGTAAAAATAGCAGTGTGTATTACTTGCAAGCACATACATGAAACTATAAAACAAAGAAACTGTTAGCATTTCACGCTGCCATTCAAAAACTTTAGGTATCTAGAAAAAAGTCACTTAAATCCACCCAACAGCAACCTCATAGCATAAGCAGAAAGCTTGGAACAGTAGTGGTATGTTAAGAGTAAATTCTGTATTTTATTCTTTCAAAGCAACAGGAAAGTTCAAGTGGGAAATGAATTTTCTACAATGGAGACTTGATGGTACATTATATCATACTCCTGTTAGTCATACAAGATATTAAACAGGAGCTTATATGTCTGGAAGGCAATCATTAAGACCTCACTTTCTGTGCTCACATTCAGCAGACCATGTAATAGGCATATTTTGCAATGTGCAAGCTATTTCTGGAAGCACAATACTTGCCTCAATCTCATCTATAGTACTATTTTGTTAGCAACATGCTGGAACTCAGTTGTTATTGTAGTTTGAGGAGAACAATAACATTTCCAACTCCATGATTTTCCTTGGAGATCTTATATTCAAGTGTGCTTACAGTCTGCTTTGGCTAAAATTAGTGGGGCTCACAAAGAGTAACAGCTACAAGCATGCACTGTTCCAGTTACTCATCCTGTTTACCTGATTTTATCCACAAGAGTTTGTTGTGGCAGTTAATCTGTAGACCCAGAAGTCTGGTTATCCAGGCTATTTCTACACATAGAATAATCTTGCTCAAGTTACACAGGCTACATCTCAGTTCTTCCATTGATTGCACAGAAATAACCTTCTATTTTTCTGAAATGCTGCGAGGCTTCAAATGTTAAGTACAGTGATCCTCATTCACATGTTGCTACAAAAATATATTTTATCACTAAGAATAAATTTGCTGTAGTGTTAAAGCTATTTCACTATGGCTTGAAATGTCGTGTCAGTTTATAAAAAAATAGGAAAAAGTCATACTTGAGAACACAGTCTAAACTGAAAGTTTCTGAAACTTAGTTGGAATATTTGTAAACATGGTATTATTTATTCTCATCTTGATTTCTGTTAGCAATAGAATGAAGCCTTGAAACTGGATGGAATTGGACAAGCAAGAATATCTATGGAAAGTTACGTTACTCTGAAAGGCAGATCTTGCTCCTCAATATTAAATTTGAGAACATTGCCTTAAATAATTTTTAAAGGATTTCCTGTCTTTCTGTTCTAGAAATCAACTCTCTTCCCTCCCCTTTGTTACACATTGCTGGTAAAACTTCACTTCATCTCCAAACTATCAGTCACACCTGTTTCTACCAGATTTGCTTCTGCCTGCAGTGTTTCAAATCCTCTGAGGTCACAGTCAGATAGATAGTAAAGTCCTCTTCATCAAATAAATACATTAATTTCATTAAAATGTTTATATAAACCCAAATCTAAATCTAAATTAAATTGATAAAGTTCCCTCAACATTATATAGATCGTAAATTCTGTTCTTTACCTCCATGTCTGACAATAGTGGCTGGTTAGCTCTGGAGGGCTGCTTGGTCCTTGGTGCCTTTGGTGGCCTCTTAACTGGCTGGGTACTTGGTTTTGGAATAATTTTACTAGTTGATACAATTGAGTAAAATCTTGATGATATGTTCCCGAGCTTTTTAATATACTCCACATTGAGCGTGTAGTTTTCCATTGCTGCCAAGCCAAAACGTTTCCAGGGTGGGAAAAACATCTCCCCACCCTGATAATAAACACTTTTTCCCAAAGCAGATACATTTCCCTGGGTCATTTGCCAATTCTTGACTTGCATACAGGGACTTGTCAAACAAGGGGAAGCAGTCTTTGGAGCATATAAGTTCCCAATCTTCTTAGCTGTTCTGTGATCCGTTCTGTCAACATCATTATCCAGCTTTAGAAGACGATGTCCAGTTTTATTAAATCTTTGGCATTGGCACACTGTAGTTAAAGAGTGAAAAGATGTAGTCTGAAGGCGCAGGAGTTTCAGTCTCATTGCTTCCCTCTGAACTGTATTTAAAACAAACAAAATCCTCTATCAGACCTTGGGAAAGAAATATTATTTTTCCCTTAGCTAAAAGGTGAGCCATATTTTTTTTGTGTATGTTAGTATTCCCAAACACACAGTGATGGGTCTGAACAGCTTTTTCCCAATGCTATGGGACTACTCTAAGATCAAAGCACATTAATGAACTGTGTGCTTGCAATACATGGTGGGAGAAGCAGAACAGGCTTCTGGATCAACAGGTAAGCAGGTGCCTTTTTCATTTGCTGCTCGGTCTGCACAGCAGCCTGTGCCCTCAGTAACCCAATGGTGTAACTACTGATAAGCAAGCACTCAGCTTAAAGAGGGTTTAGGCTGCTGTGTGAGTCCCTCATACACTACAGAAGCAACCACCAGATTAGTGTGTGCTATACTGAAATACCACCTACAAAACACGTATAGTGACCGACATCAGCTGAAGGTCTGCATCACTAGCAGCCAAGAGCTGGCTGGATGTGGCTCTGTGCAGCCTGGTCTAGTGGTTGGTGACCCTCCACATAGCAGGGGGGTTGAAACTAGATGATCTTTGTGATCCTTTTTAACTCAGGCCATTCTATGATTCTATGAAGAGCAGATCGCTCAGCTGTCATGAATGAAGGGAGAACCAAATAATCAGGTTATGGTGCTGACCTCACCGTTAGGTAACAGTGCAGTCCAGACTGCAAGGCCTGCTGGCAGGTCTACCTGTGTTGACAGGAACGTGCACTGTTAGCTCAGAACAAAAATGGGTTCCTGGACGTATTTGTGCTAAACTGTATGCAGTCATCAAATCAGAAAGCAGGCTTAGCACCTCAGTGGGTGTGCTGCACTTCCTGCAGTGCCAAGTCCCTGCCCCCACCTGCCATCATTAACCAGGAACACTTCTCCAGTGGCACAGAATCAATGTTCAGCACCTTATTAACAAAAAGAAAAGGCGGTGAGTTGCACTGTTTGGGGAAAAGTCAGTGCAAGGCTGTTCTTCACAAGTTATACAAGGGATCTTCACCATCAGCCATGCATCTCAGCAGCACTGAGATCACCGTTTTTCGGTGGGAGCACATCACTGCGTGCAGAGGAGAGTGAGGCCTGGATGCCAACAGGGCTCATTCTGACGTAACTTAATGGAGGTGTGCTAAAACTGACGGAAGCTGCACGTAGTTATACAAAAAGAGGCCCGGAATACATTTAGGCTACGACAGAAGAAGTAACTGCTGTCGGGTGTAACTATACATGCTTTTCACTTGTAACGTTATTCCTGTAAACGTGTCGCTGGCAGACGTACCGGAATAAGTGTATTATTTTCATTTTAAGCTCCATCCAGCGCTCAGGAGCGGTACACAGACGCAGGACAGGAAGCGCGGAGCTGACAGGCGCCGCCACAACCCAGCACCGCCTCACGGCGCCGCGGCCGCTGCTCGGAGCGGGAGGCCGCCGCCCCTCCCCCGCTCCCCGGGGGAACTCCGCAGCGCCCGCCCGTCATGCGCGCGGGGGAGGGGCTGCGCGCCTCCCATTGGCTGCGCGCCGGGGCGGGCGGGAAGTTAGCCGCCAAACAGCCAATGGGGAGGGGCGGCGTTCCGCCCGCAGAGGAAGAACGAGGCGGCGGCGCTCCCCTCACCCCCACCGTTCCCCCGAGGCGGCAGCCGCGGCCCAGGCGCCGCCCCGCGGCTGAGGGGCGCCTCGGCAGCGCCCGCCCCGTCACCCCGCGTCCCTCCGCTCGGCTACAGCCGCTGCGGTACCCGGACGTGAAGGGTAAACAGGAGAGAGGCACCGGTGCCGTTGCACTGGCAGCCGGGAAGGACAAGGACAAACGCCGCCCCGCCGTACACTACAGACGGGGCCCTTCCCTCTCCCCACAGTCGCCCGCCCTCCCGCTCTCGGCGCCCTCCGTGCCCCCCGCGGCTCCGATCGGGACCGTTCCGCTCCCCGCCCCCTCACGGCCGCCCGTCGCGGCTCGTACGAGGCGGCGGCGAGCACCCGGCGCCGCCCGCCCTTCCCCTCCCCCCGCGCTCCCCGCCCGCCGCCGCGCGGGAGGGGGAGGCGGCTCGCTCCGCGCGCCAGCACTGACCTGGGGGAGGGGGCGCGCCTCTCTCCGCCGCGCGAGCCGCGGCCCCGCCCACCGCCCGCCGAGCTCCGCCAGGGCGCGCGCGGCCCGCCAGGCCCCGCCCGTCGCCGCGCCGCGCCGCGCGCCGGGTGCGGTCGCCGCTCCAATAACGTCCGGCCGCCGCGCCAGACTTCCGGGGGGCGGGGCAAGATGGCGGCGGTAACGGCCTTACCGGTCTCCCTCTCGGCCAGGTTTAAGGGGTCCGTCGGGGCCCGGCGCGCTCGTTACCGGCTGCGGGGTGAGGGGCAGGAGGGAACCGAGGGCCCGGCCGCAGCTCCCTGCCCGCCCTGAGGCCGACTGCGGGCGCCGGACCCTCCGCCGAGGCCCGCGGCCTAGCGGCTGGTGCCGGGCGGGGGTGGAGCCGGGGGCCGGCGCTCGGCCCCCTGCGGGCGAGCGGAGGCGGTGCCGCGGCCGGGCCCGTTCCGGACGGCACCGCGAGGTGGCGCTGTGGGTGCGGGGCTGGGGCCGTCCGAAGGCGGGAGGCGCCTCTCCGCCCCCGCTGTGGCTGCGGGTGCCTCGGGCCGTCGGTCAGCGTCTGGGGGAGCGAGGGTGGTGTGAGGCGGGGTGTGAGCTTCCTGCAGCCGGGTATTGCTCCGTTACCGGTCGCTGCGCTCAGGGCTCCGGTGCACGTTGTGGAAAATCTTTAAAAATCATTCTCCAGTATGGGTTACAGCTCGTTGTGGGGTTGTGCATGTCTTGTCTACCGTCTT